GGGGAACCCCTGGGCCCCTGAAGCCCCAAGCCCACACTCACACTAGCCAGTCCACTGCCAGGATCAGGGAGATATCCACGACGGGGAGGCTGACTGCTTCAAGGATGATGGCCAGAGTGAGGACACCTCCGGCGGGGATGCCCGCCGCCCCCACGCTGGATGCCGTGGCAGTGACCCTGGAGGAGGAGGAGAGGGGAGGTCAGACAGACAACACTGCAGGGAGAAAAGATGGGGGCCAGTTGGGCCCGGGCGTGCCGCCCACCGCCACCCGGCACTCACAGGATGGTGATAATCTTCACGAAGTCCAGGGGCTGCCGGTTGAGCTGGGCAATGAACACCGCGGCCACACACTGGAAGAGCGCCGCGCCGTCCATGTTGACGGTGGCGCCGATGGGCAGGATGAAGCGGCTGATGTGCTTGGCCACGCCGTTATTCTCCTCCACGCACTTCATCATCAGCGGCAGCGTGGCGGAGCTGCAAGGACCCGGGTCTGAGCTGGGCCCCGCCCACGTGCCCAGAGCCCGCCCAGCCGAGGCCCCGCCCACCTCCCAGGGCATCCTGGTCTAGCTCCGCCCTCTAGCCCAGACCCCACCTCTCCCTCCCACCGGGTCCGGGCTCCATCCACAGCTCTGGCCCCTATCCATGCCCTTTCTCTTCCCACAGCCAGGCAGCGCGAGGGATCTCGCAAAATGCCAGGATTCCAAAATCTATGAATCCTAGAACCCCTGCAGAGTACAGACTGCTACCCCTCAAAATACCCACAAAAATTCACACCTAAACTCTACGGTGTCTGAGTGCTCACTGACCCCCACACCCCTTCCCCATCTCCACCAATGACAGACTAAGAATTGCTGTGCTCGTGGAGGGTCTGGTTCTCAGAGGGCAGGGCCGGCGGGGGGCGAGGGATGAAACACCCAGAAGGGAAGGTGGAAAGGGCTCTGAGGTTGGATTCCCGGAGGGTCAGGCCTTGGCAGGGAGGAGGTGATGAGGGGTAGTGGGAGATCATTGTAGGGAAGGAAGAAATCTCTAAGGCAGTGGTTTCCTAATTTTTTTTTTAAGGGGGTGTTGGAATCCATGACCTTTTGAGACACTCATGAAAGTATGGCCCCTGTACCCAGATCTAATGTCCCCAAACACAGAATTTCAGGGGTCTTCAGACACCCGATGCCCACTCCATGCCCCTTAGCTTAAAAATCCTGCACTGATCTGTCCCAAGGCCGCACCTGGAGGAGGTCCCAAAGGCGGTCGCCAGTGGCGTGATGATGCCCCACAGGAAGCGGTAGGGGTTTTTGCGGGTGAAGATGAAGTAGATGAGGGGCAGCACCAGGAGCCCGTGGATGGCGTGGCCCAGCAGGCAGCACAGGATGTACTTGCCCAGGCTGGCGAAGAGCAACCCCACGTCATCAATCTCCACGATCTTGCTGGCCACCAGGAAGAGGATGCCCACAGGCGCATACCTAATCACACAGGAGACAATTTGCTGCCTCTGACCACATGCCCAGCGGCCAGGCACGGTGTCCCGCATCCTGACCACATCTGCCAGCCTCCCTGCGGTCAGAAGGAGCCCCAGCAACGAGTGCTTCAGTGTGGGCACCTCTCCCAGACCCCAGCCTGTGAAGCCCCTGGGCCGGCCCCAGGCTCTTTCCCCTGAAGGCAGGAGATACAGGAACCCTCAGTACTTCCCCCAGGATGTGGAGCACAGTCACCAGACTGGGACTTTACACATGAGTGAAAAAGAAGCATCTATCGCATACGAGTCATCTGCATTTTCTGGGTTTGGTTGTTACAGCAGCTAATTCAATTGGAACTAACACTCTCGGCACATCATGAAAAGTGAAAAGGCCGTGGCTCAGGTCTTAATAAGCATCTCCCAGGTGGGAAGCATTTTCCACGTGCTAAGCCCTTGCTCATGACCAAATCCTCCCCAGCAACCCCAGGAGGGAGCTCCTGAGTCATTCAGATTAAACATCATCTACTAGGTCTGTAAAGCAGGGACAATAACGCTACTAACCTCATAGGAATGTTTGGAGGGTGAGATGACATGCCAGCGAAAAGCTTTTTGTACACAATAAGTGATCTTTAAACTCCAGGTGGATTATCACCCTCTCCTGCAGTGACGAGCCCCGGGGTGCCCATGCCTCCCAGTCGGGAGGCCTCCCTGACTGCCTGATTGCTGTTGTCTCCCAACCCTTTTCATTAGTCACAAAAGAAAGACTCCATTTCTCAGCCACCTGTGCTGCTAGGTGTGGCCAGATGCCCAAGTTCATGCAAGCAGGAAATTCAACAAACATTAGCTACTATTATTTACTACTGTAAATAATGCTACAGGCCAGGCACTGTCCCAAGACCTCTACACATATTAACTCATTTGGGCCTAACTACCACTCTTCGAGGTTGGTACTGTTAACCCCATTTTCCAGGTGGGGGAAACTGAGGCACAAGAGGGTCTCTCCCGCAAAGTGCTTTCATTCTGTGAGCACTTGCCAGGCAGAGCAGCTTCCTAGATGTTAGTTGCACTGGAACCTGGGCGGTTTGTTAAATTAACAGCAACCCCAGCCCCTCTTCTGATTTCTGACCCTCTAGATCCAGGCTAGGTCCTAAGAGTCGGGGCAAGACCATGGAGATGAGGCTGGGGGAGGGGAAGCCAGAGGTCTCTGCACATCTTTTTCTCATTAACTGGAGTCATTTAACAAAACTCACAATGCTAATAATCATAGTTAACATTAAGTGAATGTTCACTAGGCGCCAGGCACTGAAATCACTTTCTTTTTTTTTTTTTTTTTTTTTTGAGACAGAGTCTCACTGTGTTGCCCTGGCTAGAGTGCCGTGGCGTCATCCTAGCTCACAGCAACCTCAAACTCCTGGGCTCAAGCCATCCTCCTGCCTCAGCCTCCTGGGTAGCTGGGACTACAGGCATGCGCCACCATGCCTGGCTAATTTTTTCTATATATTTTTAGTTGTTCAATTAATTCCTTTCTAATTTTAGTAGAGACGGGGTCTCGCTCTTGCTCAGGCTGGTTTCGAACTCCTGAGCTCAAACAATCCACCCGCCTCGGCCTCCCAGAGAGCTAGGATTACAGGCGTGAGCCACTGCGCCCGGCCTGAAATCACTTTCTAAGTACTTTAACCATCCCTTAGTTGTTCATTTAGTCTTCATCATAACCCTATGACGCAGGCACTGTTTTAGATCAATTAAAGGTGAACATTTGGTTACATTTAAATCTTTGAAATTGAAGCACGTTAGCCAGGCAGTGGCCACAGCTTGATTGTCTTGTCACCTTCCAGTAAGATCAAGATGCCCGCATCAGTCTTAGCACTCACGGAATACAGCAGCGTCCCCATTTTATAGATGAGGAAACTGAGGCACAGAGATGGTAAGTCACTTGGCCAAAGTCACACAGCCAGGGAATGGTCGATGCTGGATTTAAACTCAGGCCAGCTGGCTCCAGAGAGTGGATGGAGGGTTCCCGCCACCCCACAGAGACACGCCCAGGCTGTCTCTGGCCGACCCGCCGACTGCACCTCCCCAGTCCTCTCCCACCACCTACCACATGATCCAGGAGACCAGCACCATGGTGGCATCATTGAAGGAGTTGAAGAAGCGGATGAGCAGCTCCCCGTCTGGCCCCAGCTTCCTCAGGGCCACGCCAAAGACGATGGCAAACACCACCAAGCCCAGGATGTTCATGCCCTCCACCTCGCCCCCGACGGGCACCTTTGGGCAAGGGACAGATGGGGGTGGCAGGGACGCTCAGTCAACCTGCGCACTCACTGGGACCCAGCAGAGACAAAACAGCCCTCAGGGCCCTTCCTCCCACGACACACAGTCCAAGTCCAGTGGAAATACACCTGTCCCCAGGGATGACCCAGAGCAGGCAGGGCCAGATTGGGGGAGCCCAGGAGAGTGTGGATACCAAGAGGAGGCGCCAGCTTGGGGACAGGGGGAGTCAGGGAGGGCTTCCTGGAGGAAGGGGCATCTGAGCTGGGACTGGGAGGACAGGAGAGGTGAACCAGGCAATGAGGGGGAGCAGGAGATTTTAGAGAGAGGAAGCAGAATGTCTAACAGCCTAGAAGCAAGTGAAACTTGGGCATTCAAGAAGCAGAAGGAAGTCACTGTGGCTAGAGTCGAATGAGCTGGGCAGAGAAAAGTCCCAAGATGAGGCTGGGCAGACGGGCAGGGGTCTGACCTCAGAGAGACCCCTTGGTCAGGGATGGGGCAAGGAGCCCGGGCTTCCTCCTGAGGGCGCTGGGGAACATGGCAGGGCTCCGGGCAGTGCAGAGGTAGGGTCAGATCTGTGCTTTGGAAAGACCCCTCTGGCCACCAGTTTGAGGGTGGGCTGGAGGGGGCAGGCGGGAGGCAGCATGGGAGGGGGTGAGGAGGAAGAGAGGGAGGAGCCTGGAGCAGGTTGGGGCCGTGGGTAGGAACAGAGAGGGGACAAAGTAAGGTGTATCTAGAAGGCAGGAGAGACAGAAACTGGGGGAGCTCTGCAGAGAGTTTAAATCAAATTCCACACCAGATAAAGACGGGAGCAGGAACAAGACTGGAAAACGACAGCAACGGACCAAGGGTGCAGCCCCCCTTCCCTGCTCTCACCTTCACCGTGGTTCCATTCATCTGTGAGGTTCTGTAGTAGGTAGCATACTGCAGGTGGGGGCGGGAAGAGTCAGTGTCAAGTGTTATCAACTACCCCCCTCCCCATCCTGGAGCTCAAGATGCTCAAAGCCTGCCCTAAGCATCCCTTAAACCTGATCTCATTTCACCTGCTCGTATCCCCACTGGGGCAGAACGATTAATGTCCCCATTTTCCAGAGGTGAAAACCAAGGCTCAGAGAGGTAAATGCACTTGCCCAGGGTCACACAGCTAGAGTTAAAACCCACAGGAGGCTTGGAACCCATATTCTCACTTCTTGAAGGGGAGGGGCAAGGACGGGTTTCAGAGGCTATCCTAGAATCCCCCAATAATGCCTGGAACACGTGGGCACGTGCATTTTTCCAGGCACTACCCAAAATCAGGTGACAAGGGCTGTGACTGGCTGTCTCCCTCCCTGTGCACCCTCCACCCCTCGGGACACCCCTGAGGACTCACTGAGCGGAAGGCTGCAGACACCAGGTTGGAAGGGAAGATATTTCTGCAGAGATAGACATACAAGGGGTTGTTAGACACCGTAGAGGGAGGGCAAGTTTGTCTGGGGGACTGGGTTGGCCTCTTTAGGGGGGATAGGAGGAAGCTTCAAGGCCCTATTTGTACCCAGATGCAGCCCCCACCCATGCCTCGGCCAGCTTGCATACATTTTAGGGGTGTGGGGAATCTGAGTGGGCCTCGCTCAGCCCCAGGAGGCTGGTGTGCTAGACCCAAGGGACTGTGGCTTGGGAGTGAGGAATGCTGGCCTCCCAAGGCAGGCCAAGGCAGGTCGCTCCAGGCCTCAGCTCCACCCCACGCAGCAAACTTAATACCCTGGACGGCTTGCATCAGCCACTTCCTCATGAAGTGCTGAGAAAAGGGCCGGTCCCCTGCCGGGCTGGCCAGTGGGTCTGAGCGTGTCGGGGGAGGTGGTGGTAAGAGGCTGACAGAGGGTGACAAGGGTTGGCTGTGTGTCTCATGAATACACATCTGTGTTTATACAGCCACTCTTGTGTGATGGTGTCCACGCAGCTAACCCAACTACAGCACCTACTCTGTGCCACGCACTGCAGTAAGTGCTTTGCACAGATCAGCTCCTTTCATCCTCACGACAACCCTGGGGAGAAGCACTATTACCCCGTTTTACAGAAAAGGAAACTGAGGCCCAGCAGAGTGAAGAAATGTGCCCAGCTAGGAAGGGGCAGGGCTGGGATTTGAACCCAGGCAGCTGGCTCCATAGTCCCAACGGCTCTACATCCTTCCTCTCACAGTGATGTGGGTGAACAGCTGTCACTGCGGGTCTGGGTACAGTTTGTCAAATGTTGGTATCCCACTGGGGGTGCGGGTTAGTGTTCAGATGTATGGGACAGCACACTTCATGGTAGAGTATAATTAGGTGTAAACAAAAAAGGAAAGAAAGAAGGAAAAATAGAAGAAGAAGTATGTGTGTGTTGCCGTGGCTGGCGGCATCACTGGAGCGGCTGTACTAACACAGCGGGTGCGTGTGTACGACAGTGTGTGTATGGCCATGTGTGTGTATGACAGTGTGTGTATGGCCATGTGTGTGTGTGAGATGTTACAGCTGTGTCCCTTGATGATAAGGCTGCGTGGCTGGCCAAGTGTGAGTTACGGCTGTTCTGGCGCACAGGGGAAGGCCGTGCTCATAGACAGCCTAAGCATGGGTGTGCCTGCCGGCAGGGCAGCCCGTACCCAACCAGGCCAGGGCTGGGCCAGGATCCAGCTAATCTTCCCCACCCAGGAGGTGCCCACCCACTGCAGTTCTGACACCAAGCCACCCCCAGTCTCCCATCTCAGCCGGAACGATGCCTCTGAGGTTGGGGAAACCCGGTTCCCTGACGCATCGTTTCCTCCCCCCACTTCCAGGAAGTCCCCAACCTGGAGACACTGAATCAGCAGGCCCTAAAGACAAGGCCACGTGGACCCAGCAGTCTGCCCTCCTCAACTGGGGCGTTGGGGCAGGGGGGGCTTTCTTGGGGGCAAGGAGCAGAGGCCAGAAGAAAAAGAATATGCTCCCCTAACTGGCCCCCTTCTGGGCAGCCTCCTGGGGGCAGCCCAGACAGAGGGGGAGGTGACATGGAAAGGCGGGGGTGGCAGGGCTAACCTGGAAGATGTAAGGGGAAGTGGCCAGGCTCCAGCTGAACTGGGCGGGGAAGGGAGGCCAAGAAAGAAATCCGGCTATGTCCGGGTGACACGTGGTGTGGGGACCCCAGGGGCAGGAAGAGAGCCTGGTAGGGGTTACTCAGACCTCCTCAGGTCCTCGGGGAGCTCCTTACCCTGGGGTCCCAAACCCTCTGACCCTAGCCCCAAAGCTATATCCAGAAGCCCCATCTTGGGACCCTGGATCACCTAAAGATTCCCTCCCAAAGAGTTCCCCTTGGGGTCCCCTCCCCTCATAGGGTCCTTCTCCCCTGGGCAGACCCCCCATGTATCTCCAAACCCCCAAGCATTACATTTCCCTCTCCCTCTAAAAGACCTCCTTGCCTATTGTCCGTGGGTCACGCTTAGGTACCCAGGCCCCCAAATTTAGAAACCCCCTTTCCCAGAAGTCTGTCCTCATATTCCCAAGAGGCTGGAGTTCCCACTATCCCGCTACATTTTCCCAAGCCTCCAGGGGCGATGTCTGGGCTCTAGGGGACCCAAAGCCCCATACTGTCTACGTGGCCACTCCCGCCATCCCTAACGCGCACCCGCCGCCGCACCTCCAGGCCGCGCGGGCACTGACCTCACAAGATCCAAGAACGAATCGAGCACTTCCTTGCTGGGGGGCTGGTCTGCAGCGCCCGTGGCCCCGACCGAGGCGTTGATGGCGAAGGCGGCGCCGGGCTTCAGCACCAGCGCCAAGCCCACTCCGAGCGCCGACGCCAGCAGAGTGGTGACCAGGAAGAAGAGCAGCGCCCAGGCGCCCAGGCGGCCGAGCGCGCTGGGGTCCAGGCTGGCGGCGCCGCCGACCAGGCTGCACACCACGAGCGGCAAGATGATCATCTTCAGCAGGCGCAGCAGCAGCTCGCCCGGGAAGGCGAAGGCGCTCAGGCGCTCCTGGCCCAGGGCTTGCGCGCCGCCGGCCCCCGACACCGCCAGCCCCAGCGCCACGCCGGCCACCACGGCCACCACCGTCAGCAGCACCAGCAGGTTGGCTCGAAGGCAGCCGCGCACCTTGTCCCGAGAGCGGCAGCAGCCGCCTGCTGCCGCGCCTTGGTCCCCCATAGGGATCGGCGTCCGGCCATGGTTCGCGGTGGGCTCCGCAGCGGCGAACCCCTTGGAGTCCCCACGAGGAGGATCGGCCACCATGCTGGGACGCACTGGTGTTCTTTAGTCCCTGGAAGCTGGGAGCGCCTGGGCTCCTTAGCTGGACGCCCGCGTTCCTTAGGGCTGGGAGTCGAGTAACAGCGCTCCGAGGCTGGAACTTTGAAGGGCCCCTTCGAGTTTTGAGCTCACAGCGCGAGGATCCTTGGCTCTGGGAAGCTGGAGTGCCTAATTTCCCCAGGCGGAGCGCGGGGCTCCTCTGCTCTTCCCGGTTATGCCAGATGCCCGAAACCTAGAGCGGGCGGCCCCAGGAGTTCGGAATACAGGTGTTTCTCAGCTGGGACGCGAGGCTGGGCTCCGGGGTTGAGTGCGCCCAGGCGGCGGAGGTTTGCGGGAGGTCCTCGTGGTGCAGGTCCAGGACGCCTGCATCCGGGAGGCGGGGACCCGGGGTGTCCGGGCCCTGGGAATGGAGGGCTGGGAGGGGGATCCGGTCCCCTGGGTACGGAAGGGGATGTCGAGAGGTAGCAGTTACTACCTGAAATAGGACCTCCCCGGGGCGCGCCGCGCGGCTCCGAGCCTGGCAGCCCGATTAAAGGTGGAGGGCGGAGCTTGAGTAGGCGGGGACCGATCCGCGGAAGTCGATTGGCTGCGGTGCGTTGAGAGTCCTGAGAACGAGGGGCGGGGCTGAGACCGAGAGGGGCGGGGCCACCCGTAGAAGGCCGACTACCAATGCCGGCACTCAGGGGCGGGGCCCCAGGGAATGGGGCGGGGTCTGGGGCGGGGCGTTGAGAGCGTCCTTTTTCCCCGCCAAAGGAATTGGGCTCTGGGTTGGATCCGTTAAGACACAGCGGTTCCCTGGCGTGAGGGTCGCTAGATAGTGCAGGTGATCCTCGGGTGGTTTATTTGCAAATCAGCTTCAGCTTGGTACTCCTCCTCAGCCCTGAGTTCTGTCTTTCGTCGCCTCTCAGAACTTCGGTTTCTCCAATGTAAAATGTAGATGATAAAAGGTCATCCCTCAAATGAGATGGAGTTATTTATTTAATGATGTTTATAATTTCCAAAATAAATGTTTCCGGGTCAGAGCTTGACATTTTTCAATTAACACGCAGTTATTAGGATTGTAGAATTCATTTCCTCCTAGGTGCTGTCAAAAGACAAAATTACAACCAATTTAGTTTAAAGATCTAATTGAGGCCGGGCGCGGTGGCTCACACCTGTAATCCTAGCTCTCTGGGAGGCCGAGGCGGGCAGATTGTTTGAGCTCAGGAGTTCGAGACCAGCCTGAGCAAGAGCGAGACCCCGTCTCTACTAAAAATAGAAAGAAATTAATTGGACAACTAAAAACACATAGAAAAAAAAATTAGCAGGGCATGGTGGCGCATGCCTGTAGTCCCAGCTACTCGGGAGGCTGAGGCAGGAGGATCGCTTGAGCCCAGGAGTTTGAGGTTGCTGTGAGTGAGGATGATGCCACGGCACTCTAGCCCGGGCAACACAGTGAGACTCTGTCTCAAAAAAAAAAAAAAAAGAAAAGAAAATAGAATAAGTGTTCCAATGAGTTGAGCAGAGGGAGTTGGTTGTATAGACGGACAAAAAGGGCTGAAGAAAGAAGAAACAAAGTTACTTTCCTTATAAGGCAGGGATAGGAACCTGAACTAACATCAGGCTACTTGAGGTTAACTTTTTCAGAGGGAACTTCAGTATCCTGTTGATTGAAAATTGAAACTGGCCTGTTGGGGAGATGGGCTGTTAGCTCACTCTCCTATCTCTCAGGTAGAACTATTTAGCATGGGTGACTCCATTTTGATTTTGAGTCTGGTCTGTTGGGGCCTAGTGCAGGGGCTTAATCCAAAACAATGTCCTCGTATGATTTTAACTAACAGTACACAATTTGCAATTCATCCATTAAAAATTATGGTTCAATTTAATGACTGAGCTAGTGCTTTTATGAACACTTTCACCAAATATTTTCCCCATATTTTATCATGAAAAATTTCAAACAGAAAAGTTGAAAGGGTTTTACAGTGAATGCCCATGTACACCCACTACGTAGCACCTGTAATTATTTTACCATGTTTCTACATTGTGTTTCTTTTTTTTTTTTTTT